GTGTGTCGAACCCCATCTCCTCCCTCTTTCTGCCATTACTGAATGCGCCCTTAGTTTGTTACGGCATCTAGAGGGCTGCCTTATGTGCCAAAGTCAATCTCGAGGGTTAGACCGTTGTCGCTCTACCCTTTTTCAACAACACCTTCACCCGAGCCAGTGTTACCAAGTGCGAATCTCTTCAGCGTTAAGGCGATAGTGTAATAATGGAAGGTGTCCTTTGCAGCAGTCAGCCGTACGGTACACTGGTCGTATTCATTGCGAAACTAAGCGAGGACTACCCCACAGGTCGGCTGATCATGACTGCACTTTTTATTCGGAAGGGGAGACCTGCTCCAGTATATACTGGTTACGCCATCTTATTCATATGACAAAGTGCCTCTCAACTGCCACTCAAAGTGGCTTAACAACTTCGAGTAAAATTTTACTGTGAGCAATGATAAAATCAGGGTCAACTGTTGCGTTGGCACTTTGACTCCTTCAAAGATTTTAAGCATCTCCTTCAATGGCAGTCTCGATGAGACCTCTGCCACTCTTCCCGTGCCCCGAACGCCATCCTCGCTATCATTCTTTCTACAGTGTTCGGTTATCAGCCCACGCAATCAACTCCACCCACATTTTCCTCCAAAATCACCGGCGAGCCTGTGGGGGAAGGGGGAGGGGTAGATTCTACCGGCCACCATCCTTCCCAAAATCGCAATACACCCACGTACGAGTTGTGCGAACGGAACGGTTGATCCCGGCCAGAATAGGCTTTGCCGAACACTTCTATATCATCGTCTTCTTAATGGAGATATCTGAACCGTCTCCAAGACTATGCTAGATTTCCCACAAACCGTCGGGAAAGAAAAATTGCATCCTAGCAAAATAAGTTGTTAGAAATTGTTGCATCCCTTATGGGTGCAGAATAATTTTCTTAACTCTCTGTCTTTTTCACAAATTCCACCTTATTTATGATCTGCGTGTTTTTTATCGGTGTGGCATGATTTGTAGATAACATCGATCGGGCCGTTCGATATGTTGTAAATCCACGGGGTCGTTCAGTTACCACAATACAACGGTGACCGCTGTGACCTTTGCTCGCCATTCACTTCTTCTCGCCAATACAATCCGTTAGCAGTTGGCAATTTTACATGGATTAAAATACCTTTGTTGAGAAGCGCTATTACTTGCTTTCTTAGTTCTTCATACAGAGGTCACGGAGCTCGCTTTCTCCAGTTCAACGTCCTATTGATTGTACTGTCTCATTTCCCGTATAACCGTTCCGAACGGCATTATAGATTTCTCTCGGCAAGTTGTAGTATCTTGCTTACGCTAAATTTTTGCTATTAGTGTCTTGGTAGCTATATTCAAGTAGGGTGGGCCAGGGGGTCCGCTATTTTCTTGGCGATATAAATGTATTAGGTTGGCAAGAAAGTCCTGCGAACACTTTTTCAATTTTTTGATTTTAATTCTATCTTTTTTGTTTACAACTCCTGACCGGTCATATTCTATCATGAGTGTCCACCACTTGTCTTCAACTCTCAGAAAATTTCCTGATGCACCTTTTCCAAAACCCAGCGGAGTGCGGGTCAAGAAAGGAGGCGACCTCACTTCCGAGTTGGAGTTGATCGTCTAATTATTTCGTTATCAAGATGATGATTAAAGGTCCAGGATAGGTAGCACTTATTTCAATCGACCCAGTTAGGGATTAGCGTAAGAGGGTAAGAGCAGATCTGGTCAACACAATCCACTCCAGATCGTTCTTTGGCTGAGTCTCATATTCGGATGATGGTGATTCGCAATAGGCGCATGATCAGAAATGAATATTGTCCGGGTTGCGAGGCTACGTTGATTGACGCTGGAACCTTCGCAGCTTGTGGTATTCCGCAGGCCTTTAGGCCTCTATCTAAACAATAGTGGCCCATAACGAAAGGATATGTAGTAGGAGCCTCTGTAAGAGCCCTACCTGTAATAGGAGTGTAGGGACGCTGCTGGCTTCTTATAAAAATATCAAAAGATCGGAAGCGCTGGTAAAGGTGAAACACGTTGTAGCGGTGAACGACATGCCTGTTGTAAGCTATTGCAGATAGTGTTGGTCTTCGACACGAATCCATAGTTATGTAGACACTTGTACTAGACAGTGACTCGGAGTGTGGATTTACTAGTGGTCGAGGTTTTTCAAATTTTCTTGGATAACTACTTACTGCAGCACTTATATCCACCTCGTGGATTGAAAGCCTCGAGAATGCTCTACCATTTGTTAGTCATAAATGTTACCTATGGATTGTTCAGAAAAAAAGAAAATTTTAGAAAGAGTGTCGCAGAACTTTCTTGCCAACCTAATATATAAGTGAGTGGCTGCTTGCCGCCTACTGTGCTCACAACGATCGGGGGATTCGTGTGCAAGGAGGAGCGTAACTAATCTAGGAAGGGTTGGGATGAGGGCAGTCACTTGACATGCGTGAAAAGCTCTGCGTGCCCACCCCACTTGTATAGGGCCGGTGTATTTATACCGATAGATCCCGTCACTGCTATTTTTTTAGCGGCATGACCACTGAATGTTAGCGTATCACAAACTGATCGCTACGCTCCGAGTGCACATCAGGCTGAATAAGTTTTTTATGTCACATTTATCTAAATAGAGCGTAAAGTGATTCGGCTGAGAGCATTCTGTTCTCTTCGACTGCTTATTTTTGCGACGTCCCATTGCACTTAAAACAAATTTTTACGATTTTTTTTTTTTTTTTTTTCCCTCCTTCCATCAATAAGTACCTGAGGATTATTTCGAGCCACATCTGAGCAGATAGATGGTGCTATGTGAGGCGAGTAAGTCCGCCATTTTCCGAGTAGTAGGCATTTTGAATTGTTCATCTACCTCAGAGCTTCTCTTCCCCTAAAGTTAAAAGTAATTAAGGAGAAAAAGGTGAGGTGAATCAAAAGAATTATTCCGGTCCTTCCCCGGTGTTTCCTCTACTCGGAAATTGGCGGACCGAACCACCTCACGCTGCACCGATATGTTCTGTTGCGAGAACTGACGCTATCACATGACTTTTATTCTGAAGCAAAACTGAGTGCATGGCGCAGCCTGCGATAGTCAATGATTAATAACTCATCACGCCTTTGTAGCTGCTATGCCGCCACCCTGATAGTTTGTGAGCGAAAACCTTATCTCAACTTAAGTAAAGAGCTTAAATGTTTATTACGTTTGCATTTTTATGTATTTTTTTGTTTAACGTTTTTTTGTTTTTTTTGTTTATTTATTTTTTGCTTTCTTCAAAGAGATAAAAAACATTCAACAACAATGTAGAAACAGTCAATCTTCATATGCTTCCCGTTTTTCCCTGTTTCTAACGCCATTCACAATTAGCGTCGATACTATTCGTTTTTAACTTATGGATTATTTCTTGTTTCTTTTTTCAATTAAAAAAGGGCCATAAAGGAGAAAGAGTTGAGCTGTTGCAGAAGCTTCTTATTATACTTCTCAACGGCTTTGTAGAGGAAAAAAAATGTCTGGTTCTGTGGAACTGCTTTCCTTTAAGTGAGAACCTTTTTAAAATGGTTTTCCCGTAAGAGAAAGCTTATGATCAATTGAAATTAGATCTTGATCAGAGGATTCAAAAAAAACGGACCCATGTCCCATGCTTATGATGGCGACAGAGCCTTGAACTTCCTTTTCTTGATCCCCCTGTCGTTGATATTAATCTACCTATAACTGAACAGTTGTTCTGTAAGAGCTGACCGTATGCCCGCAGTTCGATGGATTCCGGTTCCAAAGGTCAAGGTTATGCATAGATGTGAAACTGGAACCATTCTCAATCTCTCGACCAGAAAGCGTAGCATCTCATTAGTTTTCGGAGGAATGATGAACGCGAATAACAATAGGGACAATACAAGTGGCTGAAAAATCAAGGGTCCGTGAGAAATGAACCGTGGTGAGAAATGGCCATAGTTGGTGGGCACGTGCTCTGCTGTCCTCCACCTCACGTCTGTCATCCATCTTGACGACGCGTCAAAGATCGCATGGACAATATGATAAGTTTTCGAGGTACGCGAAGCCTTAATGGGTCCATTGTTTCAATCGTACGGTAAAACACGCTTGACATCTTCCCTCATAAGATTCAACAGGAAATTGTCCTCGTTACCTCAGATCTTTGCTCACCATGAGTCACACATGTCCCCTGAGTCGCGTATTAAGGCAAGGTTCGGGATTTCTCATCAAAATTAAGGCTTTGCCTTGGAAAAGTGCAGTGATACGCTAGTGGATAGCATGTACACAAATAATAGGACGATTCGACAAGACGCTAAGGCCTTAGTTTCCGCATGAGCTCCGCTTCACTTCATTGACCCCACCCACAAATCAGCTTTTTTGATATTTTTATTTCTACTTACTATTTATAATATTTTATAAATAGTAAATAAAAATTTTAATCATTGTATTAGTTAAAAATATTTAAATTTTGTAAACTTACAATATTTTCACTGTTTCGGTTGGCCGTTGCTGGAGGGGGGGGGGGACTTTATTTTCGTCCTTGTCCACGGTTTTTCCCATTTTTATTACTGACGACAAACTTCCCATCTCCACTGTCACTTACAAGCGCAACTTAACTAACTTAACGAAATAACTTGACCAGTTTGAGCCCTGACTTTGTCTTTAACCTCGAAACCGTGTACTTCTGAACTTCTTCAGGATTCGATACCTTTTTATGTAGGTGATAGAATACCTTTTCCCATATGTCTAGCTGAACGCCATTCCCTTGATGTGAGTGTGGCATTGTAATCTTAGTCTAAAGATCACGGCTGATATCAGTCACAGGTTTCAATCGCAGCTCGTTGTGATTGCAGAGCTCAGTTTATTTTTTCTTTTAATTTGTACTGAACGACTATCTGCTGCTAAATCTGTTTTCGATAGACTCAAGCGTGTTTTCTGTGATGCACAAATGCCCCAATGGAGCCGTTTTCTCATTTTGTCGCTTCGTAAACAACTTTTCGTATATCTATAAAGCAGAGCTCGCATTTGCAGGATGCTGTCATCACGCGTCGTCGCTCGTTTGGGTGGTGTGCGAGGACTCCTCTCAGGAGCAGCAGCACATCCACGTAATGACGTAGAAGGTCATCCACCTCCTCCCGTCACGCAACTCAGCGAGCATGAACTTCATCTCAAAGACACCGGTGGGTAAATCGTAACTTAGTAATTCTCTCATGAGCGCTTCTATTGACGTTATCATTGCCTCAGTTTCTGAACCATAACCATTATACTG